CACTGCCATTTGTCTCCAGGTATACCCCGCATGTGTACTCCAGCAACCTTACCTGGAGTCCTGAGGACCTCCCAGGGCAGCAGCAGTACCAAGACAGTCACTTGGAGCCAGGCTCCCTTTCTGGCAGCACATGCTGATGCCACATTCCTGCCTGCCATTTTTTTCAGTGTCAGTTTTTTTTTAACCCCAGGAACTACCAAGCTGCAAAATAGCAGCATAGTAAACAATTGCATGTGTGCCTTGTGCAGTCTGCAGAACCCCAAACTGCTTAGAGGTGCTGCAAACCACACAGGTTTGTGTGAAGCAGCTAGTATTCACTTCGGATTCAGATTTGGCTGATTCAGGGGACAGTGATTTGATTCGGTGATTCGAATCACCATCCTGAATCAATTCAGCTGAATCTGATTCAGAGATTCGGCTGCTGCCGAATCAGACAAATCTCCAAATTGGCCCCATCCCCCTGCCCGCTCTCAATGGCTGCCCTGCCCAACCCTAGCTCCTGGCTCTTTGAAAAAAAAGCCCACACTCACTGGCTCCTGCCTGGCAGGGGGCCATCCCCACTGTCCCCAACTGCCTCTGCCATGTGGGGGGCTCTGTCATGAGCCCCCTGACCCCCAGCCACTATCCCCCCACCATGGCTACCTCAACTGCCCCAGCTCCCAGCCCTTAAAAAAAAAAGTACAAAAACCCCCGAACTCACCAGCTCCTGACCAGCAGGGGCAGGGGCAATCCCCGCTGCCCCCTACTGCCCCACACTGCATGGGGGGGGCCTTTTCCACAAGCCCCTAGAAGCCCCGAGCCCACTGCAGCAGCCGGTGAGTCTGGGGTTTTTGTGTTTTTTTAAAGGGCCAGGAGCAGAGGCAGGCAAGGCAGCCATGGGGGAGCTGAGACAGTGGTGGGGGGGGTTGGGGCCTTGTGGCAGAGCCCCCCACACAGTGCAGGACAGTGGGGGGCAACAGGGATCACCCCTCCCCCCAACCTGGCAACACCCAGTGAGTAGATTGATTTTTTTTTTTAAACAACCGGGAGCTGGGGTGGGCAGGCAGACATGGTGGGGGAGGCTGGGGGAGCAGGCAGGGGTCAGGGGGCGCTGGGGGGCCCT